TGGGAAAACAACCACTGGTTTATTATACACAAGCACGACGTTTCGATAAGTATCATTACCGTGTTAGTTTTGATATGTCTCCAATCGCTAAATGCCACTCAAGGATTAAAGCTAATCGTAGTAAAGAAAATAACCGAACTTTATCATCGAATTATGACGCCAGCACAGATTGTTTAGTTCCTTGTCAGCAAGTAGGCCTTATTGTGGATCATCCAGTCATAAACCACAACGGGAAGTAAACACCAGCATAGTGCATTAAGCTTTGAAAATGAAATGAAATGGGGTTTAACGTCCTACTGTTCTGCTCCTAGTCTGGGCTAATGAAGACGGGCATACGCCATACAGTGTGCTATGAGGGAAATTTTGCCCGGGCAGCGGCGCTACGGCCTACTCTTATATCGAATTCCAACTGCCAAGGGATCTTTTACGTGCCCGCCAATGTGTACACGGGAACTCGGTTTTTTGTCCCATCCCAACGACTAGACAGCTGTCCTTGTCAGGCCCTCCATCCTGCATCACTGACAAGGGGAAACCACGCCGGAAAATCTGAATGAACTTTCTCGGCCAATGTAGGGATCGAAGCATTAGACTTTGAATGTTATGCATATCGTGTATAAGTGGAAATACAATTATAGTCAAGTTCTCTCAGCTTTAATTTACCGTTCTTTGCACCACTTAGTCTAAAGTAGTTTCTATATAAAGGCACGTTGGGTAATACGCAAATTATGATTGGTCGATGCCAGGTCAACATACCAATCAAAACCTATGACAGAGAACATTTCGCAAAACCTTTTCAAATGCTTTGATAATCGAGAAATTTGAATAAAATAAAAACGGAAACAAAAAATAAACAGCTTTGGTTTTACATTTAAAACAAGTTGAATTTGGACTCCATTATTTGGAATATACGTGTGATAAAAGTGAACAGAAGATAAATACATACTGTAATTTTAAAACCTGGTAGAACACGCCATAATAATACACATGATAGTAGTAATAATCCCAGAAGCTGAAAAATAAAGATAATTATTGGTCAGTAAAGCAGAATCAAGATAGTATTGAAGAAGTGCACCATTGAAGAGAGACATATTGCTGCCAAAGTATGCGAATGACGCACCCCCACCCCACCTCCCTAAAAAAACCACAGCAAAACAACCAACTTAATAATTAAACATACATTATGGAAGATTAGATAAAGAGCTGGTAGTTCTCACTATAATAGTTAAAACTTAGATAATGTAAAGGGAATATAATGAAAATTTCAGTCAAATTGCTTCACTCTAAGCCGAGAAATCCTTATTTTAAAATCACTGTAGCCTCGATTGTCATTGTTACCGCTATCACGAAAATTAACAATGTCTCGATTATCCATTTTCGCAGTTAATGGGCGATTCAAATCCAATGACTATCGGACACATAAGATGGAATGCAGAGTTGATTATGCTCTTTTCATATCAATACTTTATATAACATTTAAGGCATAAAGAAAGATCTGCAATGGGCAGGTTTAGCTCTTGCATAATGTATGTTTAATTAACCCGTCTTAAAATCAGAGCACAGATTTTGTACAAAGTCAATGAAAGGATTGCATTCCTAAACTATTTTTATATGTGTATGATTGATTGACAAATAATAAATTTGACAAACCTTTAATTGCTTGATAACTACCACTATTATCATTTTTATCAATACTATCATTATCAGCATTAACATGACAGGATACGCTCGCTTTTCCATATAAACATCCAGTTTCACTCCCAGTAAAAACCGCAGTACAGTTGTCTGTTGATTCAGCCTTCTCTGGACATTTTAGATTGTTAAATCCAACATATGATAGATCAAAGAAAAATTGACCGACGAGATCTACGTGGTAATCAAATCCCAACTCTCTACACACTGCGTCTCGTTCCCTGTCGGTGAACCCATCAGCACAATAAGCATAATATTTGTTGTACTTAAACCCCAACACATTGCCAGAACTTCGACTAGTTCCTCCAGCAAGCCGCACTGAAAAAGAAACAAAAAACGGATGGGCAATACAAAGTTGTGTCTGGAGGACATGTGGTTGGACATGAAACCTTACTTGTTCGTGAGTTCGAACCCCAGACTTGCAGAGATAAAATGTTGTATGATCCACAGCGAACTAGTTAGACCAACCTCCATTCCTCAACTAAGAAAACTTGACATGGCTTTAAATCACTGTACCGCATCAGTACTATATAACCATCATCAGTATTATATAACCATCATCAATACTATATAATCATCATCAGTATTATATAACCATCATCAGTATTATATAACCATCATCAGTATTATATAACTATCATCAGTACTATATAACTATCATCAGTACTATATAACTATCATCAGTACTATATAACCATCATCAGTACTATATAACCAAAACCACCATCAGTACTATATAACCACCATACAATAAAACCACCATCAGTACTATATATATATATAGAGAGAGAAATGGGGTTTAACGTCCACTCGACACAAACTATGTCATTTCGGGACTAACATATGGTTTTTAATTTTATTTCAATAATTCGCTTGCACGTAGGGGTCTTTAGCAGTGGGAGGAAACCGGAGGACCCGGAGAAAACCCACGAGGTTGGACAGGCGACCTACTCCTTGTCACGTACAACCGGGGATTCGAAACCACGCCAGTTGACTCAATGACACGTGCGCACACGTGCTAACCATTCAGCCATCCAACCCCCCCAGTACTATATAACCATCATTAGTATTATAAAACCATCATCAGTATTATATAACCATCATCAGTAATATATAACCATCATCATCATCATATAACCATCATCAGTATTACATAACCATCATCAGTACTTTATAACCATCATCAGTATTATATAACTATCATCAGCATCATATAATCATCATCAGTATTACATAACCATCATCAGTACTATTTAACCATCATCAGTATTATATAACCATCATCAATACTGTATAACCATCATCAGTATTATATAACTATCATCAGTATTACATAACCATCATCAGTACTATATAACCATCATCAGTATTATATAACTATCATCAGTATTACATAACCATCATCAGTATTATATAACTATCATCAGTATTATATAACTATCATCAGTACTATATAACTATCATCAGTACTATATAACGATCATAAAATAAAACTAGAATTGTGCTTTTGCTTACCTTCACCGAAACAAGACACAGAAATATATTTCTGTTGACTGCCTGAATAATAAGCTCGTGTGTTTAATGGTTGAAGGCGTGGAAACTCTTTAAAATCTGTATTGATTGATACGTCCCACCAACGTCTAGACACGAGAGCTGGCATGTCATAAGGTTCACCTCCATGAAACCCTAGGCTATTGCACGCAGCTTCGGCTATCTTCCCCTTTGATTCTTGCTTCAAGCTTATTGCATAGCCTGTTTCACCATTCTTGGTCAATTGAACATAACCATAGTTTGAGCCACCACCAGCAAGAGAATATTCATATTTATCACCACTGGCTAAAAAAATTATTTAAATAGCATTTAACACTGTTGGTGTTGCGATAATAGAATGGCAAATGCATGACATTTTGAAGCAAAAATATGAAGGTATCGGAAATCGCATTTGTCAACTACATGTATATGTGTTTTTGCTATGTTGTTTTTGCAGTGTTGTTTTCTAAAATACAATGGGATAGTGTTTTCTGTAGTAAATTCTACAGTTATCTTTTTATCATTAATCAAGTTTGTTAACAGATTGCCCAGTCCATCTATCTTCAGTTTCATGTTAATACTAATTTCTATGAGGTTATTATACATGCACATTGAACAAACAATCTTTTCATGGATTAACTTTAATCAGTCCGTTAGCTAACGGATAATGAAATTGACTTTCCAGCAACAGAAATTTAACGGACCGTTAACAAAAGACACATTAGCAAGATAACGTTCCGCTAGAGTTTAACGGATCGTTAAAATAACTTAGTTTTGAGAATCCGGCCCCAGATTGAGATGGAGGCATTAAATATTATTACCGGTATGTAAGATTTAGATAAAAAGCTGACAGTGTTCTATAATATAGTTAACAAATAGATAATGAAACGGGAAAAGAGAACGTATTGAATTTGTCAGTCAAATTACTCCATTCCGGGCGGAGTAATTTCCATTCGAAGAACAGTGTAGTACGGATTGCTATTTTTAATTGAATTATTAACTGGCAATCATTTGTAAATCCGTTGAAAATCAAAATCATCCGATGATCTAGAGAGTTGATTATGGGCTAGACATGTAAATAAAATATCTTATTTATGATTTACATGTATATAAGATTTGAGGAAGAACTAAAGATCTGCAATAGGCAATTAATTAGATAGTAGTAGTAGATTAATACTGCAAGGGGACATAACAGCTTCAAATATAGAAACTATCCGGGCACGTGCATTTCAACGAAATCGTCACGCGAGTCCAATAATTCATCTAGTATAAAATAATGTACGATTAGCACGTTGTCATTATCATTATTTCAAATAATGGTACGCTAAAATCATAGAATGACTTCACGTCTGTATTTTAAATGTAGTTTAATGGTCGAGGGCGAGACATTAACCCTACTTTATACAAGCGCTAAATCTGCTTATTACAGGTCTTTCTTTAGGCCTGATATACTATCTAAATTATTAATTAGACATTAATTAATTAAAAATTTAATTTAAAAATGAAAAAGCCAGGCTAAACCTCGAATATACCAGTTCCCTGGTTACCATTATGCACACATCTTGTCAAAACTACAAACAGTGATAAAAGTAATTTGAATGAAATTTTCAATAATTTTATTTTACATTATCTATTTTTGAACCATTATAGCAAGAATGGTCTGCTCTCTGTATCTAAATCTTACATAATGTATCCTTAATTAATTATATTGATATTGCGTTACACATTAAACCACAGACACTATCCAGCACGTGCATTTCAATGAAATACGTCACGCGGGTCCAATATTTCAACTAGTATAAATAATGTACACTTAGCACATTGCCCGTGCCATTATTTGAAATAATTGTACGTCAACGTCCAAGGATTGCGTCACATCTTATTTTTAGACTTACAGTCATCAATACAGTAAGCCAATGTGCGTTTAAATTGATCACATTTAAAATTCGAATCATCTTTAGTAATCTGACAAGACGTCAAACTGTCTTCATCACCAGCGCAATTGACATCAAATATCCACACGGGCGACACAGTGAAGCTGTCGTCTACCGCCGCCTTGGCGTAAGTCGTATTTCCACAAACAACTCTAGCCGCATTATCATTCCAGTGTGTTCCACAAACAGAACCCCAAATACCATGGTAGAAAACTTCAACTTGATGGGATGCAGAGATTCTTGTTGCCCCTTCGTCTGAAAAATAAAATAAAGTTGAATGGGGAAGTTGTATATCATCAACATTTTGTGGGTTTTATAGGGAACCTACGTATACATGGGCGTCTGAAAAATAAAATAAAGTTGAATGGGGAACTGGTATATCATCAACATTTTGTGGGTTTTATAGGGAACCTACGTATACATGGGCGTTTGCAGAAACATGGTTCTTAGTCCCTTTTTCGGCGTATCTGACCGCGCGGAGCCTTGAGGGTGGTATTTTTGAAAATATGAAGTCGATTTCCATGCATTTGAGGCCATTTCTCAGTCATCAGCGGTATCTCCTTTATAGGCTGTCCAATAGGGCCCCTCCTGGGTCTCTTCTCTATAAGCTCCGCATGGGCAGGGGGGGGGGGAGAGGGGAGTGCCCCCCCCCCGCCCCTGGACACGCGCCTGATATATTATTTATTGCAGATAAAGTATCAAAAATGAAATTTCCGTTTTGTTATGCATTCCGTAACATTTTGTCGTAATTAAACCATTTTCCCTGTTGGTGACCTTTGAATAAAAGATTATCGGTCTAAATCCGGGGATGCTGCAGTTAAAGATCAATAGTAATAGATGTCGTGTACGTGGCCGGGTATGCTTTTAGAGCACATGACACCAAAGATGTGTTATACCTTTTGCACTATGTTCTCGATGGTGACCATGTTGTGAAGAAATGTCTAAGTTCTCCTACCTGAAGAGTCTGTGCTGATCTCACAAGCCACAGCTGCCACTTCTCGGGTTTCACAAGCTGAGCTGTTAGAGGAACTGCAGTCGCTTAATCGTTTCTCAGAACCAGAACAGCTGAAGGTTTTGTTCCATACAGTGAATGAATAGTATGGATACGCTGTGGAGGGTAGACGTCGTCCATTCTCTCCAAACCCCAGTTCACGACAAACCACTTTCGCCACATTGTCATCAAAACCATCAGCACATAGATTCCTCTCATTAGCTTGGTCGTCATAAACCCAAACCTTACCGTATCCAAGATACAATTTTTTAACTAAAGTGAGAGAGAGAGAAATGGGGTTAACGTCCATTCGACACAAACTAAGTAATTTCATTTCAATAATTCGCTTGTGCGTAGGGGGTCTTTAGGAATGAGAGGATACCGGAGGACCCGGAGAAAAGTCACGCGGTAGGACAGTCGATCCTACTCATTGTCACGTACAAGCAGGGGATCTAAACAATTTGGCCACCAAATGCGTATATATTCATATTTATTATGTCTATACAAGGATTAGGTCTATAGAGATGGGTGATCCCTAGAAGTTAATGAGGCATTTCAGAGTTGTTTTTGAGTAAAATCCTAACTTGCCCTTTTTGGCTTCCAGCTCAACCGAATTAACAAAGTAACGCTGGTTTATTTACAAACTCATTTAAAGCCGAACGTAAAGCCCATTTTAGATGTATGCGTTTTCGCCATAGAGATGCTCGCTCTAATTCTAATGCAGATGCAGTGTCATCGTTCCATGTAACGTGGAAACGACGCGAACACGCGTTAATGGAAAACGGGCTTTACTTCCTTTATATTGGGGGGTCACGGTGGCTAAGTGCGTAAGACGCTTGCTCGCTAGCTTGGAAGTCGGGTGTTCGATCCCTGCATTGGCCGAGAAAGTTCATCCAGATTTTTCGGTGTGGTTCCCCCTTGTCAGTGATGCAGGATTGAGAGCCTGACAAGGACAACTGTCTAGTCGTTCGGGTCTGACGAAAAACCGGGGTCCCGTGTACACATTGGCGTGCACGTAAAAGATCCCTTGGCAGTTATAATTCGATATAAGAGTAGTGCCGCTGTCCGGGTAAAATTTCCCTCATAGCACGCTTTTAGGCGTATGCCCGGCTTCGTTAGCTCAGTTAGGAGCAGGACAGTAAGACGTTAAACCCCATTTCATTTCATTTCTTTATATTGGATATTTGGAAAAGGAGGAGGGTCGAATGAGTGTAGATGAATACTGACGATGTTTTACTGACGAGGTTCCACATTACAGGACGGAGGGTCTGGCGAGAGACAGCCCACAGTGGTTCGAATGGGACGAAAAACCCACTGACTGTTGGAATTCGAAATAATACTAGGCCGTAGTACCTCATAGCACACTATGCCCGACTCCATTAAGCCAGTCGGTGCAAAAAGGAAGTGCTTTAAACCCCATTTGATTTCATTTCATTCCCGATACTCACCATGACCAGCCTCTTCCAGGTCTTGCTCACAAGAAACTTTAGCCACCGACGACGAATTCATACAGTTTGAACTTGCTTGAACTGTTGTGCATTCACTAAGATGAGACTCACTACCCATGCAATTATAAGAAACGTTCTTCATTTTCGCATTTCGGACTCCGGTGTCATCTAAAACAAAGTCAGATTGATGTGGAGCCCCTGATAGGAATCCCAACTGTCTACAGAACACTTGTGCTGTTGTCTTCGTGAGGTCCTCACCACACAGTTTCTCATATCCAGAGTCGTGACCATACACCAACATTACACCGCTTGAGTGACGAAATGTGCCGTCGAATTTCACTGAAACAATAAAATAAGAAAACTCAAATAGTTACATAAGCACATTATTTCATTAAAATATACAGATTCCAGCAATATCTAAAATGGAGCTAAACAAAATTAATCATCCCAGTGTGAAGTGAATGCATTTTCAGACTGTTTCTAGGACATCCGAATTCACCAACCGAATTTTCCCCATGTCAGTGGTGCCTCTAGTCGATCGGATGGGACGAAAAACGTAGTGAGTGTTCAATCCCAGTGTTGGCCGAGAAAGTTTATCGGGATTTTCCAGTGCCGTTCCCCCCCCTTGTCAGTGGTGCAATGGTTAACGATGGTCGCGCACGTAAAAGAACCCCCCATGAAAATTAAAATTGAAAATAAGTATCACTAGCAGGATACCCGGCTTCGCTCGGGGGTATAACTCCGAAACCGGAAGTGGTAGACTAACGCCACCTGGCCTATGTTACTCCCCTGTCCGAGCTACCCCTATACCCCAAATTTCAGACTCGGGGCAGACCTAGTGTAGCCGCCAACCCCGAACAGACAGACAGACAGACAAACGACAGTCACATATATATATATATATATATAGATCACAGTCGATGCTGAAAAATTGAAGCAGAGACCATTTTGTAATAATGATCGAGGCTTTAGTGGTTGAATGGAGTGATCGAGACTAAAAACTAAAAAGTCGCCAACCACACCGCCAACCACACCAGCTGTGGGGGTGAATGGTTTAGCACGTGTACATCCCCTTGGTTTTCTGCTGGTCCCCCGCCCCCCCCCCCCCCCACCTATACAAAATCCCCTACAAGCTATCGAATTATTGACACAAAATTTAACCATGTTAGTCCCGAAATGGCCTAGTTTGTGTCAAGTGGGTCTTTCTGTTATCAAATTTAACATAACCTCACCTTCTCCGTGACAGTAAATAGCATCATTGAGTCTGTGGCTAGGACAACTGGTTGAATGTGACAATCCTGTATTACTACATTTTAATAGTTCCGTGTCGTTTGAACCACAAGTGAAGATCGTGTTCCAATATCCCAATGTACTGTCTGTCTGTACCCTGTAAACAAGGTTTCCCGCCGATATGTATCCCAGTTCTTGACAGATTAAATCTTCCTCATCCGTAGTGATATACGAACACAAATACCTCCAGACACCTCCAATTTTCACCTGTACTGCCCCGTCATGTTTTGTCTTTCCGTCTGTTAAGCGGACTAAAATGTTAAGTAAATAATTGACATATAACGCTGAAAATAAATGGAGAGAGAGAGAGAGAGAGAGAGAGAGAGAGAGAGAGAGAGATGGGGTTTAACGTCCACTCGACACAAACTAGGTCATTTCGGGACTAACATATGGTTTAATTTTATTTCAATAATTCGCTTGCGCGTAGGGGTCTTTAGCAGTGGGAGGAAACCGGAGACCCCGGAGAAAACCCACGAGGTTGGACAGGCGAAATAAATGGATAATTTCGCTAGCGGATTGGCCCATCTAAGACAAATCCGTTACTCGGTAAGGGGTGCTGGAGTACGGCATTAATAGGGATCTTTCAGTTCTTAGGTAAGCCACATGGAGCTACGGTGGCTCAGTGAGTAGGACCTTCGCTCGATAGCCTAGAGATCCCGTGTTGTGCGTGGAAGTTCATCGGGATGTTCTGGCGTGGTTCCCCCAGTGGTGTAGGACGGAAGGCCTGGCTAGGGATAATGCATAGTCGTTCGGATGGGTCCAGTGTCCAAATTGGCGTGCACGTAAAAGAACCCCAGACAGTTGGAATTCGAAATATAAGTAGACCATACGGCCGCTGTCCAGGCACAATTTCCCTCATAGCACAATGTGAAGCATATGTCCGTCTTCATTTTTCGAGTAGGAGCAGAACAGTAGGACGCTAAACCCCATTTCAATTAATTTTCATTTCAGCTACGTCAAAAGATTTGCAACCTACAGGACAGTTGTTGCAGTTAAATGAATTTGTTTCTACTACAGAAAACAGCCTTTAAGATATATTGTTTCTCATCCTCGAGGCTTGAGGTGTTGCGCAGCACCCAATTAGTACTTTCGTGTTCAGACTGTGTTATAGAGTCGTCCGCTTATTGCTCTCGTGTTCAGACTTTCTTCTAGAGTAGACTATGTACTGCTTGCATGCTGGAGTTGCATGTACTTGATGGTCAAAAATCACAATTCGGATTTATTTTCTTTCAACTTTCGAGTCGCGAGCAAAATATGTACATGACTAGACGATCCGCAAAATTTGAACACTTTCGTTGTTAGCATCGCAGGGGGCGTCAGCCTGTCAACTGAAGTATCTTCTCGGTCCAACTGTCATTATTTGTCGTCTGTTGAAACTGTCGAGATAGTTATTAATCAGTAGGACATCTTTCAGAATAGCTGATATTTATGCCATGTGACCAAGCCAATACGTCCTTTAAAAGGCGATTATTCACGCTTCTGAAAACCACGTGTTATACAGTCTACATCATCTAAAACATTTCCATTTCTCTTCCGACTACCGTGTTACATGTTTTGACCTAAATGGATACATATCAAAGCCTACGACAACGATTCCCACACAGTTTTAACACGGTCGACACCAACACTGTCCTTTAACATGTATTCAAAATAACCCATGTACGTGTAAAACTCACCATCAGCTGTAAATGTGTGTGAAATGAAGCAAACCAGAAGGAATGTTATAAATATAACATGTTTGTACATACTGTTGAATATCTGTAGAAAATAACATAATATTATAAAACATGAAATGTATCGATACATACTAGTGAATATCGCTAGAAAATAACATAAGATTATAAAACATAAAATATATTGATACATACTGGGCCCTACTTCACAAAAATTTAAATGTCCTTAAAATCGTTTTAAATTAAATGTCATCGTAACTTAAGATAGATGAGTTTCACAAAACGATTTCAAGCATTATTTTTTAGATAAAATAGACTAAAATAATATTTCAAAGTAGCTAAGTCTCTATCTCAATATCACTCAAAATCGTCGACATTGAAAACACGATCTAACCGGGAAAAGATAGGCTTCTGATCATCCAATATTTAAGACAAATGCGTTTCTGTGCCATTTCTAACAAGGGACTCGAAGAACGAGGCTAGATATTCCACAAGTCATGTCAAAAGATGACTTCATATTCTTATCTGGATAACATGCACAATAAATACTATCAGTGTAGACTGGAATAACCAGACGCTAGAGGTTGTCATTCGATTGAGACCTCTGGCGTATTTCGCCGAAAATAATATTCATATTACATTATTATATGCGTTGCCAACCATTTGTGTCAATTTCTAGGTCCCAAATATCAGCGATTTAACTCTTTTAAGTAAAAAGTTTATCTTAACTTAAAATAATGGCATTTCACAAAACCATTTTGGGAACAATTTTAACTAAAATCAATTTTAACTTAGGCTAGCCGCCAAGCTCTCCTAACTTGAAATCACGACATTAACAAACATTGATTAGATCTGTTGCGACATATAGATATATTTGGAATAATGATAATATTGCAAATGGCCCGGGTCACATAATTTTAACATACCATCATTCACAAAACAATTTTCATTCAATTTCTTTAATAGCATGGGAAATACAGCTACTGTTGTACGTAAAATTACAACAACCCACAAGAAAATGATCCAGTCAGAACAAAACAGTCAATATCTCAAAAACTATCAATGTTAGACCCTATAAATGTATTATTAACATATAGGAACTCTATATCTCTGAGTGGGATAAAGCAGTCTGCATCAACCTATGACGTCCCACAGCTAAAGACCCCTACGCGCAAGCGAATTATTGAAATAAAATTAAACCATATGTTAGTCCCGAAATGACCTAGTTAGTGTCTAGTGAACGTTAAACCCCATCTCTCTCTCTCTCTCTCTCTCTCTCTCTCTCTTCTCTCCATATCACGGAGTCGTCTCTTCAAACAAAGATTTTTAAATAATAAGTACCAAACTGATTAACATACAGATCTATATTTCGTTTCGTTTTTTTTTACTTTCGATGGCCTACACTACATGAAGATCTGGCCGGTTGTTGCGATAGGTCACGTCAGAGGTCATACGCGCGGCAAGTGAGCCTATGACGTCAGACATTTGATTAACCAATCAGCATTAGTGTTACTAGTGGATTACCCACAGTTCCGTGCAAAACACGCCTAAAGCTCGCCGTAACAGACCGTCTCATTGGCTAATACCTCACACTATTCAGAACACGTCAATGATAACAAGTCTTCCAGATCCTAGTGTTGTAAAGACAAGTAATACGAAATTTTGAACTATAAAATACGAAACGAAATAGGATCTGTGTTTTAATCAGATTGAATAAGTACATGCATATTTACAGCTGTTGTGTGTGGTGCCAGGGCCGGCGTCGGAGACGCTATCTAAGCGATTTCTGGCAAGTAAAATTACTCAGCAATGAAGTGAAGTTTTAATTATTTTTTAAATCCCTTACCATGAAAGCACCACAGTCGATCGTGCTTTCCTGTGATGCTGAACTGGACAAATATATGCATAATACTACTAAGGTTGTGGACCCTATAGAGACCACAATTTATATCCGATTTTGATGAAACTTACAATGTATGTTTAAAACCAAAAGATCTCGATTCATTTCGATATTGGCCCATATCGGACCGTAACGTCTTGGATTATGGCCCCTGATAGTACGAAAAATCCCTTATTTCAGTCTGTGGTACCATCTAGAGGTCACAATTATTAATGATTGTAAAAACCGTCCAAATATATAACCGTTACACCATAATGTTCATGAAAGTCCGATCGAAACTTACCGTCGAATGGCCGCTACCCTTTACGTTAATAGTGTTGAAGTATGTAATACAAAGGTTGTGTACCTCTAGATTTCTGATTGCGATGAAACTTAAAATACGTGTTAAGTATCACTAGTTCATGGATGAGTTCAAGTTTGGTGGGGATCCTTTCTGGGGGTTATGCCCGGTTATCCCCCTGCCTTTCGCGCAAAATGGGAAATATGAATGGAGTTGGTGAATCATCCAGAGGCAACAGTTTTTGTCCGATAAAAATTAAACAAAGTGTTAAGGATCAAAAATTCCTGGATGGGTTTCCCTTTGGTAGGCATCAGGCCTTCCATTCTAGAGCTATACCCACTGCTATAGAATGTTAGAAAAACTCTTTCAAGTCATGTTTTAATCACCCAATCTGTCAGAGATACAACGGAAATCAGATGGAGTGAAATATTTAAGATCGACTTCTCAGTTAACTAATCGCGACCCTTGCAAATGAGGCTCTTAACCCAGGGATCAGTATAGTGCATAGCAGGGTTTATTTCTTCTGAAAGTCAACGTTCTACTTTTAGAGACACTGTGACAAATAAAATGAGATAGGGCTTAACGTCCTATAGTTCTGCCCCGACCTGGCTATGATGGAAACTTTGTCCGGACAGCGGCGTTACGGTCTATTATTTCGAATTCCAACTGTCAAGGGTTCTTTATCGGGGCCTCGGTTGACAGAAGGCTGTTAAATTTGTATCTAAACATACACTATGAAAGAGCTAAATCTGCCTATTGCAGTTCTATCTTTAGGCCCGAAATGTTATTTAAATTATTAAGTAGACATGAATTAACTTATCCAGGCCATTAACGTCCTACTGTTTTGCTCCGAACAGGCCCAGAGTTCATAAAGCATTCTCAGACTTAAGTTAAGAATTTACTCAAAATTGTTCCCCTTATTTTATCCAAAATATAGCCCTTTATAAAACGTTTGTTGTTTTAATGTATCAAATACATCAATAAGAAACTATGTGCAAAGTTTTGTGTTTCTGAATCAAAGATATTTCTCATAAACAGTGATTGAAAGTTGAGTAAATTCTTAACTTAAGTCTGAGAATGCTTTGTCAACTCGGGACCTGGGCTAATGAAGACGGGCATACGCCATACATACAGTGTGATATGAGTGTAATTTGGCCCGGACAGCGGCACTACGACCTACTCTTTTATCGAATTCCAGCTGGCAAGGGATCTTTTACGTGCACACCAATGTGTACACGGGACCTCGGTTTTTCGTCCCATCCGAACGACTAGATAGCTGTCCTTGTCAGGCCCTCCGCATTAAATCAATCATATAAGCTAGCTGTCTGTTCTCATATTAATACTGGGAGTGTATCATAATATTTACTAACGGCATCGGGTTACAAG